CATATGGTCATTGAAAGTTCTACTTCAAACCAAGACACAGTGGTACATTTTACCATTTAAAAATGAGGGGAGGGCAGAGGTAAGGGGAAAAAATGAGAATCAAGACTTGCCGTGTAGAGGTACATGATCCCAACAATGAATGTAACTGTACTGTATCCCTAAAATGTATCAATAAACTCAATAAAATTAAAAAAATTTTATCTCACTGAATACATAAGTGATACCCAGCAAATGCGAAATTGAAATGACCACAGAGAAAAAGGAATAATTTTATATTTGATGAGAATGTAAGCATCTATACCTACTATAGAAGTCACCATGGAAGTTCCTCAAAAAATACTAAAACTTGTTCCAGCCTTATGTTTTATTTATTCTACTCTGGAGGCTCACATCAGCTCTTCCACAGCTTCTGTTCAGTCTAACCTGTGAGTGTGCGACCTTGAAATACTGTCATTCGAGTCGTCTATGTGATTTCAAGAGCAAATAAATGAATACATATGTGTTTGTTACATAAAAACTTAATGTAGAATAGAGAGAACAAATGAAGGCAGCAGGACTCACAAAATGCTCAGAGGAAGCTTACCAAGTTCTACACATATTGAAATGCAGAGGAGCAAATGTAAGCCCAGCTATCAGAAGACAACTTAAAGAAGAAGCCCATCAGATGAAATCCAGCAACAAAGATGTTCAGAAATATAGGTAGGGTCGCTTGGCAATCCTGGAAGTGCTTATAATCTCTATCTGAAGAATTTATAACCTTGAGGAATTTCAAACCCCCATCATGGAAGTAATTAAGAGCATCAATGGCTGTTGAACTGCCACTTAATGCCAAGCCCAGCAGGAATCACCCACCTGTCCTGAATCTCCTCCAACTGTGAGAGGAAGCACAATGAGAAGGATATTCATGAGAAGGGCTCTCCTCAGATCAGGGCACTAAGGAAAGGATAAACCAGAGGATCATCCTGGGTGAAGTGGTTGAGTTAGAACTCATGAACCCTAGGGATAGGAAGTAGCAAAGGGACCCAGAAGCAGACATCACTGTGAGACAGTGACAATCAAGGGCAGGGTTTGAAGTTACTATGATTGGGGGTCATGGAGTGCAGCATTACCAGAGCAAGCACTCTCTTACTACAACCCCCCAAATGCTACTGAACTCTCTTCAACAGCTCCCTCCAATCATCCCCCAGATGCTGCTGAATTCCTCTCCAAAGGGCTTTCTTATGCCAAGACCTAGACACCACTGAAAGAGACTCTTGAAGGTGCACAACTGGGACCCATGATCACTGCACAGGAGGAGACAAATCTAGATCAGTGTCTGTGCAGGCTAATTTCTGCCAGACCTGGGAGATCACTAAAACCCTATATTGGGTTTAGACTGTAACCCGGTAAGTAACAGTATTGATTTTATATGGGAATAGAAGGGGCAGAAATGAGCTGTCAGAACAGCACTCAATGGGCAGGGATGCTTCCTCTGGCCTGACACAATGGGACCATTGTATTTGCTAAACAGAGAACACCTTGGTGGAACTAGGACAGAACTGAAACTGGAGAGCATGGGATAAGTTAAGAGGAGTGAGCCAGACAATGCACATAGCAGACTTTGCAGCAAAATCTGGTTCCCAGTGACCTGTGAACCCAAGGTTGCTAACCTGTCCAAGGAAGAAGTGATGGCGACCTAAAGCATTCTGAAATTCCCAGAGGTTCCTGAGCTTTTTTGTGAGATTATTTTGAAGGGTGTTACCACCTTTCAGCTTTTGAAAGGCAGACCTCAGTACAGATGTGTGCATGGGTTTAGCTATGTGTAATAATTTAGATCCAAAGTGTCCCACAAAAGCCTTATGTGTCTAGAAGCTGACTGGCTCACAACTATATCTGTCAGTTTCTTCACCCAGCTTTTTGTTTCAATATATGTTAAACTAGTGATCACCTTATAAATTAAATTCCTTATCTCTTTATTTATATTATATGTGAGGTAGTGCTTTAAGAACTAGTAGCACAATGGGGGCCATGGAGCACCCTTCCTTCTACCCGGTCGAGCTTGGATAACAACATAGGGCCAATCCTCCTTCCACTGTTGCAAGTAGAGTAATTGGCATGAATGCTGAAACAAGCATACTTGTTCAAAGCCCCTGACTCAGGAGATCCAGCACTCTGTTAATCATTCCTGTCTGTCTTACCCTGAGACCATCAGGAAGCATCCAGGCTGAGGGTAGGAGGCACCTCCTTAAGAATCTGAAAGCCTGATTTATCTGTGTGCTTTTTGCTTTTCCTGATCTCTTAGCACCACTTTTCTTTTCGTGCTGCATTTTTGTTTCTGTTGAATCAACCCTAAGCACATTTTCCTGTTATCTTCATTAAATGTAGCTGATTTTCTTCTATATTGGATGTACACATGCAGTTGTGTGCCTGTCATACACCAGAACCTGGAATCTGTTGTATCTCTCTCATTAAAGACTTTTGTTGATTCTTTCATGCCCTCATATATATCATCAATTTGGTTTTTGACATTCTCTCCATGGACATCAACTTTTGAGGAGTTAAACATCTCTGGAGACTTGTTTTGAGGTTATTATCAAATAGTGTGTGTGTGTGTGTGTGTGTGTGTGTGTGTGTGTGAGAGAGAGAGAGAGAGAGAGAGAGAGAGATATGAGGGTTTAAATTCAAATAGTATGGAAAAATTACATCAGTAGTATGGGGCTCATTTTAGTTAGTGTGTACTTCCCAATGCTGTTATCTTCGGTTTGATCGTATTTTGTTATTTATGCACCTCTTCAGCCAACTCAGCATAATGAAATCAAACCCAATCTGTGTGGCAAAAAAATAACCTCTACCAATTTTATCAGCATCTTTAGAGCCAATCATGTATTGATTATATACACTAAAATTTATTTGAATAATTTTTATCCTTTTATCCCTATTCCATAAAGGCTGCAAATCCTTGAGCTCTTTTAGTTTAAAATTTTTTGTACCACAGATTGAACTTGGGTCCTTGAGCTTGCGAGACAGGCTCCAGAACCACTTTGCTAAATCCCCAGCTCCCTGAGCATTTTTTTTTTTTAATCAGGCTGTACCTGAGTGCACTGTGCCTTGTCCTCAGGCTAAGTCACAACTCTATCTCAGCCTGAGTCTCCTCCACCATTCACAATGTTGTTACTTTCCTAAGCACGATCTCTGTGTTAGGTGTCAGGCAATGCCCCTACTGCCACCAGAAGGTAGGCTGTTGGCTGGGTATTACAGGGAAACAAAACACTCTGTTTTTTTAGAGCAGTAGAGGAGTGCCTGCTCAGGCTGTGCTCTATCACTGCTGTAATTACTTTCGCCCCCATGGTTAGGCAGTTACACTCTGCTGTGTCCCACCCACCAGCTCTGTGACACTGAAGGGTCCTGGTGCTCAGCAACCCTTGGCCAGGCATGGGGGAATCATTCATGGCTGCACTGAATAATGGAATTTGGACAGGATGTAACATGGATTCAGAACTCCCAAGTGTTTGGGGGAATGGTGCGGGACTGCCTGTGCTGGAAATCCCTTTCTAAACTGTGCTTCACTAGTATAATCTGCAACTCCCAGAGGTATGGTTCTCCTCGCTGCCAGCTCTGGGTACCGAGTTATGCTGTGCACTTGTTCTACATGGCTCCAGGACCCTGAGGGTGTCATTCAGTCACTAGCCTCTCAGTGGTGTTATACCTTTAGTTTCTTTGATTCCCTAATCTGTGAGACTCTCCCTCACTGTTCCCACTCCCCAAGGAGGAGCCTTCTTCCCGTTCTAACCCACTGATGTTGGCTTTCATTAAGTGGATTTCTCCTTCAGGTTAATTCTTCATGTTTGGATATGTTTACCTCCCCCACTTTTTTGAGTACCTGCATTTTCTACTGGGTCTTCTCTGAGCTTCCTTTATGGTCCTCTCCCACTAGTTGTCCATGATGGATTACTTCTCATTTGTAGCTGTTTGGAGCAGTGTCTTTTTAAGTTGGATTTTTTTTTAGGAAAATAGCTTTTTGAGTGTTTTACACATTAGAGAGAAGAATTCTTTATCAGAAATATAGTAAGCAAAGGTTGTTCTTTCACTCGTTCTTCTGTCTCTTCACTCTGTTAACTGCTTCCATTCCTGTGCAGAAGCTTTTTAATTTGATGCATCCTGCTTATCAATCCTTGGTATTATTTATTGTACTTTGGGAGTCTTATTCAGGGATTCATTGCTTTTGACTGCATTTTAGGCCCAAACTACTCTATGAGAACTAGTGGCTGTGAGGAAAATAGTGCTAAGAAGAAGCTGTGTCCTTCAGGGTTCAGTGAACCTGTAAACGTGTAAACCTTTGTGAATTCATAGTAATGTACAATAGCTCCCTTTGTGAATTGAGCATATTAGTGTAAAAGTTTATTTTTCTTATGTGAAATGAAGGCATATTTTCTGAAGTTCAAAATCCCCAATATCTCAAAACAAACAAACAAACTTCAAAACATTCACAAAATATAAATGTGGGAATTAAATGAATAATGAAGCCAGATATCAGAGATGTTAATATGATCCAAGAAGGGTCCTCTTAAGGGGAAAATCTCAGTAATTACTTAAATATGCATGAAAGTTCAGATCATAAGCTTCACATGGGTTAGAACTCAAAAACAATGACTCTAACGATAGAATCATGCAGAATCATGCAGAAACTCATCTCCAGATATCAACACAGACTCTCATTTTTATCCCTGTTCATCCACTACTCCAGAGTAGCTTTTTCTGAAACAGATCTAAAAGCAATTCCTAAAACTGATACCTTAATTCATATTTTTTTAAGCTATTGGAGCAGAAAAATAGAGTATAGATATGGAAATAATTTTTCAAATATCACAGAATTGGATGAATCTAAGAGAAGCTTAAAGTACAAGTTGCAATGTACTTAGGCATCATGCAGTCATCTTAAAAAATCTTTGATGACATAAGAGACAGTTTTTCTGTCTCACCTGCTTTCTTGACACTTTATCATGAAAAGTCCAAACTCAAAGCTAATGACACAAGAATAAAGAAGGCTTCCCAATAAGGAGATGCTTCAGAGCTATCTTCATTTCTCGGTTCCTCAAGCTGTAGATAAAGGGGTTCATCATTTGAGGGATCACAGTGTAAATCACTGAAGCCACTGCATTCTTAGTGGAAGAGTCAGTAATGGCAGAACTCAGGTACACTCCAGAACCTGATCCATAGAATAAGGAAACAACAGAGAGGTGAGACCCACAGATAGAAAATGCTTTATATCTTCCTCCCACTGAGGGCATTCTGAAAACATAGGAGACAATTTTAGTATAAGAGAAAATTATTTCAGCACTGGGAAAATCAAAGAATATGTTCGCTGCTGAAACTATCAGAAGGGTATTTATAAAGATACCAGTGCAGGCCAGCTTGAAGATCTGAGAAAGTTCACAGAAGAACTGAGGTGTTTCCATGTCTGTGCAGAAAGATGGCCAAGGCACTATCAGAGTGTGAAGCATGGTGTGCCCAGTACTAATGAGCAGGGGGAAAAAACAGCAGGACACAGAGACCAGGAATCAGGTTTACCTGATACCTTAGGTGCTGACAAATGGCCACATAGCAGTCGTAGGCCAGCACTGCAAGTAGACAACTTTCTAAATCAGCAAAAATCAACACAGAGGTGTTCTGAGTGAGGAAGTCTGTGTAGGTGTTGTGCTGATCCTGTACTTGCATGGATCTTTGGGATAGTTTTGGTGCTTATACAGATGTCAGCCAAGGACAGGGTGGAGAGGAAAAAGTACATAGGTGTGTGAAGGTGAGAGTAAGAGCTGATGGTGAGGGTGATGAGCAGGTTGTCCAGGATGGAGATCAGGTAGATAACGAGAAAGAGAAAGAAGATGAAAGGCTGCAGCTCTGGGTTCTGTCAGTCCTAGGGGAAGAAAATTTGAGACAGCTCTTTGGTTTTTGAATTTCATAATTTTGGTGAAACTGTGAAGATATGAGGTGGAACTAAACTGAAATAAGGATTTTGTGGTTATATAGAGAGAAATTCTTAATATTATCCTGGAGGTGTTATACATGATCTGGCAATGAGGACATGGATTCTATGTTGTGCATATACTATCAGTGAATTGAATATTTCTATAGCTTTTTCAAGTTTCTTAAAACAAAATAGTTTGGAGTCACATTGTAAACCCAGGTGAATTTTTGGTTCATTCTCTGATCCCCTTCTCCCTCCACTTCTCTCTCTTCTAATTTCCTTTGTTAAACACCCTTGCATTTTTAAAATTGTAGCAAGTACTGAGATTGTGATAAAATATAAGACATGGGTTGTTCTTTATAGATAGATCGCACCTAAAAACAAAAAGAAATATGACAATGAACTTATCAAATCTATCTTCCAGAGCAACACTTTTCAATCTTTTTTGACACCAAGGACCAGTTTCATGGAAGACAGTTTGTCCTCACACAGGCAGGAGGGTAGCATGGGATGATTCCACATATTGTCTTTACTGTAGCCTTTTCGATATTATTATTACATTCTGATATATAATCCCATAATTTTCTAACTCACCATAATTCAGAGTAAAGAAAATGAAATAATGTCCAGACCTCATGCTGACTAAAATAAGGGTTGAATTCTGGCATGGGTCCATCTCCACAAGCAGCTTAACTGCCACTTGCTGCTCATTTACAGGATTTTAATATGAGCCTGTAAGTAATTGATTTATTGTGGTCTGTGTGATGTCAAACATCTCTGCTAATTTTAATCCCCATTTTCATCCATTTTCCAGCATTAGCAGCATAACTGCCTAAACTCAGATCATGAGGCATTAGACCCTCTTAAGGAGCACACATTTAGATCATTACAAACACATACCTGGGTCCACACACACACACACACACACACACACACCTAGGTCTACGCACACCTAGACACTGACACACACATAACTAGATCCTCGCACGCACAGTTCACAGTATGAATATTTGCTCCTGTGAGAATTTAAAACCACTGCTGCTCTCACAGGAGACAGAGCTCAGTGGCGATGTAAGGGATGGTGTTTGGCTGTAAATAGAGCAGATGATTTGAACACTAGCTGTGTGAGTTGATTCCTTACAGGGCACAGGCAAGTCCATGACACACATTTGAGCCTGTTCTTAGTCAATGGTCTTTAACTTGGGCTAATCTTGCTGTCACCTGAGTGGCTTGTCTTGTACAGGCAAGGCTTGTCTTGTACAGGTTATACTTTAGCCCCATGGACCCATAGGGAGTGACATGTAACATGTATACACTTTTTGACAAACAGTTGGGGAAAACCCTAGTTGTCATAGTGCTGAGTTGAGTCCTTTGACTAGTTAGTTGCTGAGCAGAAAACTAGCATCCGTATGTTCATGTGGTACTTGCTAATTTCCTTATAGTTGAAATCATTACTTTATGAAACAACTCCCCCAATTTTCCTTGCTTTCAAGATGTTCCATCAACTATGCCTTATATGAATTGCAGCATGTGGAAGACAGCTGTGCAAGTGGATATGAGAAATGATTAGAAAATGTTGCTTTTAGAGTTGAAGCTCATGGAGCCACTCTTGGAAACACAAGTGAGCTAACCTAGCTATTGATTCTAGGAGAATCTGGGCAGCCATGTTGATAACACTGTTTCCCCATCATATGGGAACTTATTCCCATAGTGAGTCTGGAAATACATAATTGCATAAAAATGCAAAACAAAATAATAGTTAAATGAAAGAAAGAGTGAAATTCAAGGCTTTACAAAAGTAGATAAAAATAGAGAACATTTTCTTGCTTTCTAACAGACACTCAGTAAATAATGCAGAGTCAAATATTCAGGCATCCTAACAGTGTGTCTCTTGTGAGGATTACTTTGTATCACCTGGGGAAGAGAGAATCACCTAGATCAGCAATGAGCATTTGGTGTAAAATGAGACTCAGGGTCTGAAATTAATTCAACCTCTAGCAGTTACTTTTAGGATGCAAAAAATGTTCACTGTATGTTTTACATTTGTGTAGTGGAACCTGCTTAATGGGTGTACCCAGAGCTATAGCATGGCGATATTTGAACAATGTTTGTTTCTTCAGCATGCACTGTATGTATGTCAAATACATAATTTTTATTCTGTAATTAAACCTCTACATTTCTGGTTTCAAATCCTCATGGAGACATTACAAGGATGTGAGAAATGGGGCAAAAGCCTCCTGTAGAGTCCTAGGTAGTACTATCGTTCGATTGACTGTTCCAACCCTTTGTTCATGTGTGCACAGGTGGACATCATGAAGAACAGAAGATGGTGCTTTCAACCCAACAAAACACAAATGATCAGCTGAGGTAGTGAGGAAGGAGAAAATCAAGAAAAGAAATCTCCACCATGAACAATGCTAATGTCAGTGAACCACGCATATGCTTAAACTTCCTTTGGGATTACTGACTAACAAGAAGAATAAGGAAAGTGTCAATTATTTAAGGATTCATATTATTATTAAAGATTGTAAAACTTGTACAAATGGAAATGAATTCAGTAATTAAAAAGAAACACATGATATAAAAAAGTAATGAATTACAGGGAATATTATGGAAACTTGTACATGAGAAAAAAATAAATTTATTTGAAGTTCTATGTTGGTGTAAATTTCTGACATGGATTATTCATACATGACAGAAATTGCAGAAATTCTTCTATGGGTGGTACTTCTTAGCAAACAACAAAAACATCCCCATGTTTTCTATGTTTCTAGTGGCACATTTTGTAATAGTTCAGTCTTGGAAATACCTCAATTGTCCATCAACCAGGGACTGTATAAAGAATATGTATTTTTTTTCTTTTCCATTTGTAAAATTGAGTGCTATTCAGCCATAAACAATGACATACTAAAAACATTGATAGCTAAGTGGATAGACCTTGAAACCATAGTTGTAAGTGAAATAAATAGGACACATTTGCAAATACTGAAATGTTTTTCTGGTGTTAAAAACTGAAAAGGTAAATGAGAACAAAAATATATAACTGATATTGTGAAATAGAAAGAAAAGTTTGAAAAAGGAAAGGGAACTAGGAATGGGTAGTTAGGGACAGAAAAGAAAGGAACAGAAAAATGAGAAAAGAAGGAACACATGGAAACAAAACTTCTGTAAATAGGGAGGGGTGAAGGATATGAAGAGAGGGAAGGGGAATGGGAAAGAACAGGAACCACCACACGTCATGTACAGGACAAATTCCCAATGATGAAAGTGATCATAATGTATACTTACATGTACCAATTAACCTAATGAATAAAATATTTAAATATCGCATACTTCACCATGTTTTTTGAGATATTTCATTGTGAGTAATAATAATAGACTCTTTGAAGGCCCTTAGTAAATGTTCTTTTATAAACTTAATTTATTTTTACTTCTGCAGGGAAAGCATCATAACCAATCAACTTCCATCATTCTTTCTGAATTTTCATTTTTCTAGCATTATTCTTCAAAAAAACATCTCCATGGTATTGTATTTTAAATTTTCCATGTAAAAAAACCATATTGTGAATGTGTACCATTTACAATTGGTGTGTGTAACTAATTTTTCTTTCCTCCTCAATTTTGTTAAATATAGTCATGCTTATTTGGCGTTCATTATCAGATTGTTCTCATATTTTGCAGCCCTATTTACTACCTTCTTTGACCATTAGGTAAAGTGGCTACTGACTCTTAATGATGACTACAGGTAAAATTAAAGCCGTGCATGAGGGACATCACTTTATTCAAGTTGCCTCACCTAAGGGAAACTAGAATGAAAGGGTTCAGCAAGTTGGTGAGTTGTGCATGTTTCATTTTATCACTTCACACAAAAAGGCCTGAATAAATTCAGCACAGTAATGACAGTGGTTAATCTTTGGAGGGAGATGGACATTTGTGCTGTGGATGTTGTTATTTAGGTGATTTCTGCTGTTCCTATTAGCATGAAACATGGACTACAGGACGGCTTGTTGAGCTTCTGTCTCCTCTTCCTTATCCAGAGCCCTCACAACCCCCTACAGAAAAGTACAGATCTCTTCAGGTAATGAAATTGTTCCAAAATTACACTCATGCTCTAATAAGAAAGGAACAGACTTTGGCTTACCTGGAAGGTTTCAGTGACAAAGGTGCTCAGCAAGTGACCTGCATATGGAAAACCAATGATCTGTTTTTGTGAAGGGTGGACACAGTGGTATCTGCCCCAGGAGAGTTCATCTCTGGCAGAGAGCATGGCTGTTGCTGCCTGTCTGGGTTGGACTTTTCAGTGAGGTTTTCACTGCCTGACTCCCACAGGTGCTATATCACCCAGGGGCCAATATCCAGAGCTCTCATTAAGGAGAAAGTAACCAGAAACACTATTGATATTGATCCCAGAAGCATACATCCTTAAACACAAACACTATAGAGAACAGTAATTCAAGATAACTAATTTTGAGTCCTCAGGCCAGCTGTACATCATCCATGTTTCTCTACCATTTCTACTCGACTGTTTAATACCAACTTTGCTCCCATAATCTAATGAAATTCTCTAATAAACTCATAACTTCCATTTTAGTTATTTTTTCTCATTGAGTTTATTGATACATTTTAGTTACACAGTACAGTTACATTCATCATCTTGTACCTTTACATGAAAGGTCTTGGTTCTCATTTTTCCCCTAACCCCTGCCCTCCCTTCACCCCCGCTTCCCTATTTACATATACTTTATTTCCATTTTTTCATGTTCTCATGTTTTTCTTTTCCCTTATTTCCTATCCCATGCCTTGTGTGTCTGATTTATTTCACTCAATATGCTTTCCAGGTGCATTAATTTTCCTTCAAAAATCTCAAATTTGTCCTATCTTATAGTCAAATAGTATTCCATTATATATAGATATCTCAGTTCTTTATCCAGTAATCTCTTTTTGGGTATACAGGGTGGTTCCAGGATTTAGCTATTATGAATTGTGGTACTATAAACATTGGTATACAGGTACTACTACAGTATGATGCTCTAATCTCTTTAGAGAAGATACCTACAAGAGGTATAGCTGAATCTTATGGAATTTCTAATATTAACTCTTTTAGAAATCTTCATACAAATATATCTAAGGGTTTTACCTGCCATGACTGACACAGCATGGGGTCTGAAGCTGGGGAGAGTGGTGGGAGATGAAGAAAAGGTAACAAGACCAAGATTACTCTTTCTATCTGGGATCAGGTGGAATGATACCTTTTGAGAGCTAATGGGTACGTAGAGCACCGCACACTATCTATAGTAGAAGACAAACAGGAAGAGAAGACCGGGTGAATTGTGCTACATGGCCTACAAGGCCTGGGCAGAAAGTAGTGTAGTTGTTTCATGACTGGGGCATGGGTAGAGAGGGAACAAGGAAGGATACAATGTAACTGTCTCCTGGGGCTGTGCAAACCAAGTCTACAATGCTCTTCTTCTAGTCTATGGAGGAGAAAGGGAGTAGGGAGGAGAGAGGGAGCAGGGAAGAGATGCAGGGCCATCTTCAGGCTCAGCCTGTGGCATTTACCCACTAAAAATGTGGACAGGTACCTTTTTCACCACAGCCATGTCAGCATTTGTTGTTGCTAAATTTCCTGATGATGGTCATTCTTTCTGGAATAAGATGGAATATATCATAGCATGTATGTGCATGCCCCCCCAAAGCCATATGAAGTCTTAGGTGGGGCTTTTCTTAGGTGGTTGGATCTAGTATGTGTGATGCTGGGATGAAGGATGTGATGCTGGAATTGATTCATGGTGCCATAGCAGGATAAAGCCTACCCCAACCTGGACGTAAGAGCTAACCTTCCTCAGAGTGAATAACCTGGATAAATTATAAGGTATAACATGTAAGCACTGATTCTTCACTACTGTGCTGCTTTGCTGCCCACCATGAACTGTTTTTCCTCTGAAATGTCCTTCTGCCATTCTACCCTGCCTTGGAACCAGCCAACTGTGAGCTGAAGCCTCTAGAAACTGTGAGTTAAGTAAACCTTTCCTCCTCTAACTTTGCATGTCAGGCATTTTGGCTCACCAATGATAAAAGTAACTGAGACAGAATTTGTTACCAGAGAAATGTGGTCATTTCTACTACTGACCGTGAAGTTCAGGTGCTTTTGGAACTGGCTCCTGGGATGGGTTTGGAAAGGTTTGGAGAAGCCAACTGAAGAAGCAGACCTGAAATCTCATACTCTACTAGATGGGACAATCTAATAAGAACTCATAAGAGCATAAGGGTGATAGAAATCCAGCCAGTAAAAACCAGGCTCTGGAGGTTCTTGCTGGGAAGAAGGATTCTTTGGCTGCTGGACTCCACATGATGCTTGCTAAGTCTTGGCACAAAGTTTGTCTTCATTTTGCTCCTGTTCAGAGACTTTGCCTGAGACTGAGATTAAGGGCAGTGTTCTAATTAATCTTGCAGAAGAAATTTCAAGGTAGTGTAATACTGAGTTCATGGTGTGGTTACTATTGGTGGATTTTAGTCAAATCTGTGTTGAGATTTAAGAACAAAGAGCCCAGCAGAATTAATTTCAAACATTGTGAGTTTGGCCAAAAAGGAAGCTCCAGGAAAAGTGTGTGCTACAAAGATGAAACAGAAGTGATATTGCCTGCTGAAAAGAAACAATGTCTTATAGCCTGAGCAACTATTTGAACATAATGATATACAGTATACTAACTGTTGATATTCTCTTATTTTGTGATGACATTTTATCTTTACATAAAATAAAAAAAAATATATAACTCTCTCTGTGGCCCAAGCATAATACTGAGAAGATTTAATTTTCATATGAGAACTGGCAATATGTTGCAGTTCAAAATCTAAAATATCTCAAATCATCACAAATCTTTATATAATCTAACTGGTTGAACAAAAAAAGTGATGAAGAATAGTAAAAAAAATGTTTATATGAGTTCAGAAGCATGTAAATGTCTGAGGAAAATCTCATCAGTTACATAATCATGGACAAAAGTTTAGTGAAATAGCTTCATATGGGATGAAATACTCACGGCTCTACCTGTCATCACGCACAAGCTCCTCTCCAGGTATTAATACATCCTTCCTTGCTCCCAAGCCTGGTCTACCCAACAACTCCAACATTCCTTTCACTGAAGCTGATCCTAAATATTTGCTAAAAGTGAGGCCCCAATTCACATGTTTCTTCTAAGCCATCAGAGCAACAAACAGAGGTTGAATTCATCTATCAAACATCACAGAAATGGATGAAACAAAAAGAAGCTTAAAGTAGATGTTTAAATTTACCTAGACATATTATTATGCAGTCATTTTGGAAAAGCTTGTGAGATAAGTCAGGTTTTCTGGCTCACCTGTATTCCTGTCACTTTTTCACATTCTATAAATCCTAGCTCAAAGACAATAACTCAAGAATACAAGAGGCTTCCCACTAATGAGGTGCCTCAGAGCTATCTTCATCTCTCTGTTCCTCAAACTGTAGATAAAGGGGTTCATCATTTGAGGGATCACAATGTACATCACTGAAGCCACTGAATTCTTAGCAGAAGACTTAGTAAAGGCAGAACTCAAGTACACACCAAAACCTGACCCATAAAATAAGTAAACAACAGAGAGGTGAGACCCACAGGTGGAAAAAGCCTTATACCTTCCACCCGTGGATGATATTCTCAAAATAGAGAAGACAATTTTAGTGTAAGAGAAAATAATTCCAACAATGTGAACACCAAAAAATATGTTTCCTGCTGAATATATCAGAAAGGTATTTATAAAGTTTTCAGAACAGGCCAGCTTGATGACCTGAGCAAGTTCACAGAAGAAGTGAGGGATTTCGACGTTTGTGCAAAAATACAGCCGCAGCACCATCAGAGTGTGTAGCAGGGCATGCAGAGTGCTAATGAGCAGGGAGAGAAGAACTAGCAGGACACAGAAATATGGACTTAGGATGATCCTATACCTCAGCGGCTGACAAATGGCCACATAGCGGTCATAGGCCATCATTGCAAGGAGACAACTTTCTAAACCAATAAAAATCATGGCAAAGGGGATCTGAATGAGGCAGCCTGTGTAAGTGATGCTATAGTCCTGTGATTGGATGTTCACCAGCATCTTTGGGATTGTGGTGGTGCTTATGCAAATATCAGTGAAGGAGAGGCTAGAGAGGAAGAAGTACATGGGGGTGTGGAGATGGGAGTCAGAGCTCACAGCCAGGATGATGAGCAGGTTTCCCAAAATTGTGACCATATACATGCACAGGAACAGGCTGAATATGAAGGGCTGCAGTTCTGGGTTATCTGTCAGTCCCACAAGAATAAATTCTAAAACATCTGTGTGTTTTTTTAATTTCATGTTGTTGATGAGTCTGTGGAAAAGATAATCTAAAAATAAAATAAAGTAAGTGATTTTTTGAGTGACCAGTCATATATATGAAAACCAGTGTTGTATGTTTAGCAGATACTCTGGATAAAGTTACTTTATCTAAACTATTTTTTTCCAGAGCCATACAATTAAAAAACCCTTCTAATTCACATGTTAGACACAAGTAAATCTTCAGATAATTTTCCTAATTCCTGTCTCCCTACATTTTTCTTCTCTGTTTTTGCTCATTTTTTCTCATTTATTGAGTTTATTGGTACATTTTAGGTATACAGTACAATTACATTCATTATTGAGATCTTGTACCTTTACATGACAGGTCTTGGTTCTCATTTTTTCCCCTTATCCCTGGCCTCCTTGCACCACCCCCTCCCTTCCCCATTTATAAACACTTTATTTCCATTTTTTCATTTTGTCATATTTTTTTTCTTTTCCCTTATTACCTTTCCCCTTCTTTAAAACACCCACATTTTTCAGAATTGACTCAAGTCCTTGGATGTGATGAAATATAGGACATTGATATTTCTTTGTAATTAATACAAGACCTGAAACAGAAAGAAAAAAATGCAAATGAACTTATCTTCTCTATTTTCAAGAATTGAAGTCTCCTACTTTTTTAATGCCAGGGATGAGTTTTGTGGAGGAAAATTTGTCTTCCAATTGGGCAGAACAGTTTGAGATGAATCAAGGTTATTACTTTTTGTTTCTTTGTTTGTTTTTTGTACCAGGGATCAAACTTGGGCCCTTGCACTTGTGAGGCAGGCAGTAAAACCACTGAGTCAAACCCCTAGCCCCAAGGTTATTACTTTTATTGTATACCTCATTTTCATTGTTATTACATAATTATATTATTTCCCAGAATCAGCAAAAGAAACAATGGAGAGTCTT